AATCCACCAACACCCACACCAATTTCAGATAATACTCCATCACTCGTTCAATCATCCACATCAACAGAAACATCCACTAGTACTAACCGAGCTTATAGAACTTTTAAACGAAAATTCCCAAATCACCCGTTTCCATCCAAACCCGGAAGTGCCCGAGAATATATAAACCATCCAGACCACACCAATACTACGAATTATCTTCAAATAACCCTACCTTTATTTCCCCAATATACACTAAACCAATCCGACCCTAACCCTGAACCACGTCACTTACACTACCTCTCTATAACACCACAAAAGATATTGAGAGAAACAAGGACGAATTATTCAGATTAACATCACTCACACCCCGACAATTTACATACGTAGGATATAAAAAATTACTAAAAACATTCACTGCACCCCGAGCTAACGACTTTTCAATTGAATATTATGATCATAACATCATTAGATCTAATCAAGACCAATTTCTTGACGACGATCAGTTTGCTAACCCACAATTAACAGAAAAATTTTTCATTAAAACACCTTACTTATTCACACTTAACATACTAGATAAAAAGCATGATCTCATAATTTCAGAAGCATTCTCAGATATTCAAGCATACGAATCATTTCACGAAAAATTTCAAACATTTTCACTAACCTTTCATTTTCTCATACCAAAAGAACGTGATTTGCACTGTGCACACGACATTATGTTGCGAACTAAACAAACACACACCTACACTTATTATCGTTTTATCCAGAATCATTTTCATTTACACACACCATCACGACAACCCCACCACAGATTTCAGTTTATCAATTTTAAATACACATCACCATTTTTCCTAAACTTCACGTATTGTATTAAAAATACTAACCTTCAAGGCATCCTCCGGAATTATGACCCGTTCACCCAGAAGTATATATTTTGTCCCCTCACCAAGACTTTCAACGACGAAGAATCCCGTCCCCTAATAGTCCCGCATGAATATATTCAACCTATAGAAGTACCCATTTTAGAATTCATCCACAACACTAAATACAATCATAAAATTTATAAACTAGTCCAGAACACACCTCATGAATTTGCAGTAGGCACCGAAGAACTAAAAACCATATAAGCACTTGAATTGCTTTGGCCACTGCTGCAAACTAAAAATATCATAAGCATACTAGCAAAATTACTAACTACATCAGACGCTATTCACGATGTTTTCTCTCACGGCTTTTTTCCCGACTAAGGTAAGTATGAATTAGATAATTTTTTAACATTACAAAAACAGTTACTATCTCCCCACACTCTCACCATTAACCAACTATCATCAACGATTACATCATCCAATCCACCAACACCCACACCAATTTCAGATAATACTCCATCACTCGTTCAATCATCCACATCAACAGAAACATCCACTAGTACTAACCGAGCTTATAGAACTTTTAAACGAAAATTCCCAAATCACCCGTTTCCATCCAAACCCGGAAGTGCCCGAGAATATATAAACCATCCAGACCACACCAATACTACGAATTATCTTCAAATAACCCTACCTTTATTTCCCCAATATACACTAAACCAATCCGACCCTAACCCTGAACCACGTCACTTACACTACCTCTCTATAACACCACAAAAGATATTGAGAGAAACAAGGACGAATTATTCAGATTAACATCACTCACACCCCGACAATTTACATACGTAGGATATAAAAAATTACTAAAAACATTCACTGCACCCCGAGCTAACGACTTTTCAATTGAATATTATGATCATAACATCATTAGATCTAATCAAGACCAATTTCTTGACGACGATCAGTTTGCTAACCCACAATTAACAGAAAAATTTTTCATTAAAACACCTTACTTATTCACACTTAACATACTAGATAAAAAGCATGATCTCATAATTTCAGAAGCATTCTCAGATATTCAAGCATACGAATCATTTCACGAAAAATTTCAAACATTTTCACTAACCTTTCATTTTCTCATACCAAAAGAACGTGATTTGCACTGTGCACACGACATTATGTTGCGAACTAAACAAACACACACCTACACTTATTATCGTTTTATCCAGAATCATTTTCATTTACACACACCATCACGACAACCCCACCACAGATTTCAGTTTATCAATTTTAAATACACATCACCATTTTTCCTAAACTTCACGTATTGTATTAAAAATACTAACCTTCAAGGCATCCTCCGGAATTATGACCCGTTCACCCAGAAGTATATATTTTGTCCCCTCACCAAGACTTTCAACGACGAAGAATCCCGTCCCCTAATAGTCCCGCATGAATATATTCAACCTATAGAAGTACCCATTTTAGAATTCATCCACAACACTAAATACAATCATAAAATTTATAAACTAGTCCAGAACACACCTCATGAATTTGCAGTAGGCACCGAAGAACTAAAAACCATATAAGCACTTGAATTGCTTTGGCCACTGCTGCAAACTAAAAATATCATAAGCATACTAGCAAAATTACTAACTACATCAGACGCTATTCACGATGTTTTCTCTCACGGCTTTTTTCCCGACTAAGGTAAGTATGAATTTAATATTTTAAAACTAACTAATTTTAAATAAAAACTAACCATTCTTTATAATTAGTTTACATTTTCTTTAGCCTTCACACCATGATCACCTACAACAAGAAGAAAAACAAATAAAAATACAGACTCCTTTTTCATAATAAACTCTATTAAACCTATAGCACTAAATGATGCAGTAAAATTCAATTCGAAAGCAATAAATTCATCTATAAATTATTTCCCTAAATGTAGTAAAATTCAATACGATGATAACCAATTTATAATTTTCAACCCCCACAAAGCAGTAAAGTTTCAACTTAAAGTAGTAAATTTATACAAAGAAATGCAGTACTAACCTTTTATATATCTTCTGTTCACCCGCACAAGAATTCTATCCACAATCGCACAACTCGCCCACGAAGAATTGTTTAAAATAATGAATTTAAGTTTTAAGTTTGCACTAACAAAAACTTAAACAAGCGATAACTTTCCAACTTTCCTTTAACCCGGTTGGAATGGAATTATATAATAACCAAACTAAGCAACGCAGCTAACCAAACACCATACACCACAAACTCGTAGCATGACTAAGAAAAGAACACCTACGGTACCCAAACCGGATTAAACCAGCTTAAAACTGGATAATTTATTCTTTTTAAGACTATTACCAAGTCTAAAAAAGAAATAATAAAACACCAAAAAGTCGCAAGACAAACTCAAACAAAAAACAATTTGATTTTTGAGAAAAGGACACAACCAAAGTAACAAAAAAAACAAGAAATAATATAACAAAAACGTTAGCACAAAACAGGACCCCTTAAAAAACCAGCATGAAATCATACTCCCACTCCTGGCCTAACCCACCAGAGAGGACGTCCTGAGCATGCTCTATAGCCGGCCTAACCCACCATGCTACATCTACGCTTTGTGACCACATCATATTTTTGACAAGAGGTACTCAAGGGCGAGTAACTCTTAAAAATAACTGAACTAAAACTAAAACGCTTTTGCGAAAACAATTAACCAAAATCATAACTAAAAAATTGAATTAACAAAATTTTATAAAACGTAAATTATAATATGCAGTACATAGATCACAAACAACCGCAAAGACGAGCATCTAAAGACTAGACGACCCCATCACACTCAACCTACAGAATGGCTAAACACAACCGACATGCCGCCCACAATCACGACTCAAAAAGGAGTTAGAGTACGACTTGACTTCGCAGAAAAGGACTTCATTGAATCAGACCAATGACCAGCTCGGTGTTCAAGTATACGTACAGATCCGAGTTACAAGGCATTCCCTCCAAACACAATCTTCACGCCATTCCCAGACAAGAGTAATACTCGATCAGTTCTCCAGCCAAGCAGAATAAGCAATCATAGCAAACCATTTTGAAATCAGATTGATTTCACCGGCGGTCGCGGTCATCGTCGAACAAACAACTAACAACTTCCTTTCGACGACTCCAGCTTCCTGGAGCTTTCTTCTCCAAGAACGAAACAAGAAATAATGCTCGCCAAATACCAACGACCATCATCCTTCCTTCATTAGAGATAGAAGATAAAAGATTCAAAACTCTCTAAACCCCGGATGGGTGGAACCAGATCTAAACTACATTTTATTATTGGTTATAAATTGGATATTTTATCATTATAAAATTTATAATATTAACCGATCATGATCCATCTAACTAACAACCCCTTTTATTTGTAAGTGCTGAAATCAGCACCAGAGAGATATGAATTTAACTTAGAAATTAGTTACCTCTCCAAGAGACCTTCCAGCAATCGCAATAAAGCCAGTATACTCTAGATCTATTGAGCCTAGCAGAGACTAGTTAAACACCCTGAGACTAGTAGATATAAGAGTAGGATTGGGATCGGACTAAGAAGTTGCACGAATCTATCCGGCCGAAAATAAGATAGCGTGACGAGCAGACGGTGTACCCTATCCGAAATTACTCTATGAGTTAAACCTCGGTCCTAACTCAATCGTAACATCAAGCATTTTGTCATAATATCAAGAAAATCATGTCTGAAAATAGAAAGTTTGATAAGTGGGAGGAAAGTAGGAAAAAACCGTGTTGGCTATGTTTTGAGTCCAAACTTTTCTATTAAAGGAGAAAACGTAGAACAATTTTTAGTTCGCTTCATTTCGCCTCCGTATAATTTGTGTGCCTGCCGTGTATTTCCCATTTCTTTTTCGAGCAAGAACAGTTAGATTAAAAGGCATTATGCGATGCAATATTAGGTTTTCCCTCTAGAGAGTTCCATTAGTATAACTCGATTAGGTGTATCAGATAATTTCAGTTGAGAAAGTCCCTTCACAAGTTTCAATTGAGTCCGAAAGTTGGTTAAGTTTTCCTGTCTGATTTTTGGCTAGTCGGATGAAACGTGATTTGATGAAATTATTTGATGAAACGTGAGTTGGGTTTGCTGCTTAGGGTTCAACGAGATAGTGCCTGCCAGCTGGCTGCAGTACTTCGACGAGAAGGAAATCGAAGTAATGTTGTGTGGCATTCAGGAGATAGACGTGGACGACTGGGAGGCAAACACTACATATCGAAACTATACAAAGACGTCCAAACAGATCCAGTGGTTCTGGCAGTTCGTGCGCGAAATAGACCACGAGCAGAGGATCCGACTGCTCCAATTCGTCACGGGAACTTGCAGGGTCCCCATGGGAGGATTCGCGGAACTGCTCGGCTCAAACGGACCTCAGAAGTTCTGCATTGAGAAGACTTTGAAGGAGAACTGGTTGCCCCGCTCGCACACCTGCTTCAACAGACTGGACTTGCCGCCCTACAAGAGTTACGAGCAGCTGAAAGAGAAACTTCTGTTTGCCATGGAAGAGACAGAGGGCTTCGGGCAGGAGTAATTGGCCAACTAATAGTAAAAGAAACGTACCAAGCAACTGGCCCAAAACTCACTCACCTGTTTTTAAATTACAATAATCCAATCTACTCTTGAACATAATATATATTTAAAAAATCCAATCTCCTATTGCTATTGTCTCTATTTGAACCAGTAATATGAATCCTTTCTAGTTTTCTAAAGTTATTCGATATCATTATCACTCGTCTCATTTTTCTTTGCAGTTAATGAAAATTTGCAGACAAAGATGTCAGTTGATCAAATGAGATCGTGAAAACAAAAATAGAAGGGTGTTGATATTGTCTATGTCAAAAATGAAAGCCGAAAGCGATATTGCTGAGTAATCATGATTGGACTCACTTTGTAGCTGACTGAGAGACATTTGTTCCACTATCAGTTGATAGTTAGTTTAAGATGTTCTATTTTTTTCTGATGCTCAATTCTTTCAAAATCGTTTGACCACATCAACTTTTTAGTCCCACCTCGCTTACCTCGTCCCCTATCAATTCATTGTACAGCTGTTTATAGTCCCTCTCAACTAAGTTCTAATTATTTAACCAGCCAGTGTGAGGGGCAAGATATTTGTTCTCGAGATCACGTTGAAAGTCAACACTTTATTGATGCTGTTGGCCAAAATTAAGCGTAAATCGACTTGGTATGTTTCGGTTGTATACCTTCTAAAGGGCATTTTCTATTTTTTTACCGAAAAATTGAGCTGATTGTTTAAAATACTTTCGCTGGCACATCAATGCAAGAGTAAAAATCAACCGCAAATTTGGGCGAGGCAACCGAAAAGTACCATGTCTATTCTAAAATTGCGCGAGTAGTGAAGTTCTAATAATTTGATCCAATTTTGAGGTACTGTAATGATTCAATGTCCGCCTGTAAATGTGCTATTAACTTCTGCTTCAAACAACATGACTCCGTCACATGGCAAAGTTAGTTATACTTGATACGTGAGTGTTTTGATTTTGAAGTATTATAGTGGATTAATGTTTCGACAATAATCAGCTTGTCCCGAATTTAGTTTTTTAGATATCAGATGAATTTATTATTTACCAATTTCTTTTTGAGGTGAAAATTTGTAAAAGTTTCAACTACAGATTCATTGGTAAGTTTTGAACGGTTATTATTTTTGTACACACAATTATGAAATAAGTAAATATCGTTTTCGAAAACCAGTTCCAGTAAAGCAGTCAAAATTCGTCCAGAAATAAACTAAATTTTCGAGATTTGAAACTTGCATCCCAGTATTTACGGGAAAATGATTTAAAGATTTACGTTCATTGAAAGTTGATTTTACACTCGTGGTCAAAATTAAATACAACTTTTAATACAAATTAAATACAAACTCTTACTGTCTAAATAGTTGTTTTAATTGAATCTTTCGACAATATCTTCCAGGAATTTCATCAAAACTTTTAAATGGAACGAGAGTAAATGTGCTCATCTGCTCTCACTGAAAATATTATAATTTACGTCGGTCTAAAATGATAGTTTTGACATATTTACTTGGGTTTTTCTAACGAACGGCATGAACTCTTTCACAAAACAAGCGAAGTGAAAATGTGTCCTCGCGATAGGAAACTTTCTCAGAGTAGAATTGAATTATTCGGTGTGATTAAAAATGCGAGAGCAAATAAATGTCTTCTATCGGGAACTTCCTTTTTCCTGTGAACAATTTACAAATCTGTAAGAAAATGAAATTGCTTTTTTCAAATTAAACAACTTACCGGCCCCTCGCAGCTTGTTCTAGAGGTTGACTTAGCACCCAAAAGCCCGGGCTTTGTTTAAGAGCAATGAAAACAGCGGCGACTCTTATGTAGATGTTAATATTTTTGTTTGGTTATAAAATGCTCTAATAATTACAGATAAGCTATCATACATATGAATGGATTTATGAAAGGACTTAGGTGTAAATGCACTTTTTCAGTTCAATTGAAAGGCGTCTGCAGAAATTTAGGTGAAGTTCTCTCTCCAAGTACGAACGTGGAAATGCTGCGAAAAAACGAACGACTTCTAGTTTCGAGAGTGGAATTCAATTTGAGATAACCCAGCGGAATAGAAACTTTACCTATTGATCCAATTTTCTGAAATTGGATTGACTTTTTCAAATTAGCACCAATTAAAAATTGTTCTAGAAATTGAAAGACTTTCTTTTTCCTCTTTTTTTTTCAATTCGCTAGCTTGCAATGCTAAGTTTGCCTTGTATCGCAAGTGGTATCAAGATCAGCTTGCCCGTTTAACTTTAATAAACATGGTAATTTTGCATCCAACGCTAATTTCACATTCTTTTCCCTTATCGTGGTTTTCTCTAAACTAGCTCAAATTATTTCAGTAGAAAGAGTTTTTTTTACATTGTCGGTATTGTTTTGATTAAAATTTTTTGTTGCAACCGGGTGCTAGATTTTTTCTATACAAATGAATTTAATTACAGGCAATTGCTTCTTCCCCTATGTTGTCAAGGCAACTTATATCGCAAGTGACTTAATTGCACATTTTGGCGTATCAAGTATACGTCCTATTGAAAGTTATGCTTCTCACGTTATTTCTGTTCTTACTTATTTTTTTGCTTTTTTTCTTCCTTCGCTTCTTTTTCGATGTGATAGTATTTGGTCCATATCATATCGGCTTAGTGGTTCAATTTGATTACTTTCAATAATTTCACTTTGTTTTCTTTGTTAAAAGGAAGATAAATTCCAATATCGAACAGCCAAAAAGAAAAGGTCGCAAAAAGCGCTATCAATTCCTCATTTTAAAAATGGAAATTTAAATATCAAATTTCCCAGCAAAATAAAAATTTCACCCAGGGATCCAGTTCTCTCAAACTGAATTAAGTTTATCAATCAGAAATTGTTCTAGAAAATCAAAGATTTTAAGGCAAGCTTTTTTCGAAATTTGAAAGTTGAGATAGAAAAATGTTTTTTTTTCTGTTCACTTGCTTTAATTGACTTTTTTACAACTGTCGGTTGGCTATGTTTGATGTTTTCTTTTCGGCTTAAAATTTTCCTGCTGAGACATTTTTGGCTTTGAATCTGCCCTGTAGTTTGTTTGTCATATGGTAATGTTCTATCGTCCTCGCACAGTTTTTTTCTAAACTAGCTGTGTTTATTTTGATGTATCTAGTTTTTTGTCGTTTTCGACTTTTTTCTCCTAATGGCATTCATGTATTGTATCGCAAGTGGTACCACGCATTTTTTTTTTCAATTTACTGATTTTCGTCTCATTTTCTTTTCGATTGCTTGCAATGCTAAGTTAGCGTTGAATCGGAAGCGGCGCAAACTTCCTTTTCGCCTGTTTAAATTCACGAACCTTGACTGCTTTCCATATTATCACGCTTCTAGCAAAACTAACTGCAGGTTGAAAAAACTGTTAATTTCGGAACCATTGGGTTAGTTTTATGAAAAATTTTTCTTGAGGTTAAGCGAGCAGAGACGTGACTCTATAAGTTTTTTGAGAACTATTATTTGAGCGAGTTAACATTTTTAGCGTTAGCTTAGTGTATAATTAAGAGCCTTATTTTTTACACTAGCGTCGGCTTAGTGTGATATTAAGAAGCTTTTTTTCTAACTCAAGTCGAAAATATTGTTGCCACTTTTGGGGCAACTTTACAGCTTTTTGATAGCATGTGCTTTGATATTCCAATAATAATAAATCTACACAGTTGATGAAATTTCAATTCATCAAATGGACCGAAAAAAGCTATTGGTTTCTAGCAAGAAACAATCATAAAAACTCGACTCCAGAAATTTTCTAACTCAATGTATCTCGCAATTTTTCGAAATGCATAAATTATACATAATGTGGCTCTATGCTTTGCATTTTATTATATGCGGACATAGCGTGGATGCCTCCAGTTTGTTATATTCCAATTAAGTACTTGCGAAATTGTGCCTGCTTGCCTTTGGTGCCAGATTTTTCAGCATATGTAGCTGATATAGTCGTGATTAGTGTTTGTCGGTGATTAAGCGTGCGTGGCTGAGGGGTTGGTGCGTGAGACTCAAAATCTCTTGAATGCACTAGGTGGCAGATCGAATCCTAGACCTAGCCGAATTTTTGCTAATTAGAGGTTTAATTCTGTTTCTCTTATTGCACTTTCTAGATCTGCTTTTTGTCTTGTTCTCGCTAGTGTTTGCGAAGCGAAGCTTCGCCTCTGTGTACAATTTGTTTTCGTTGGTTATGTTTCGAATGATTAAACGCCAGGAAAGTAAACCTCGATGCATTATTAATTGGGTAATTCTGTTCAATTTAGTTGCTGCTTACAAACAATTCAGCAGACAACCTAACGTTAAATTCTTAGCTATCTTCTGGAAGCAACAGTTTCATCATATTTTTGTGGAAGTTCTTTCTTCCAAAAAACCCTCGAAAAAGAACTTCTGCGTAATTTAAAGTTGAACTTAAAAAAATAAAATAAACTGATACACAATTATGAGACGTTCATATGTGAGGTCCAAATTTAGAAAGGAACTTTTTTCTCAGTTGACAATATCTTGTTATCTTATTAAACCGGCTACTCTTCTGCGTGCCTACTTATTCCACTTGTCTTTTTTCCTCGTCCTACGATGTAAGGCCTTCGCAAATTTCAGGGGGATTTTTGACCTATTGATTAAGCCCTAACTTTGTTAGGAAAAATTTCAGGCATCAAGAAAGGCCCATTTTTTGACATTTTGGTTGTTTTTACACCGAAGACTTTAGTCAAGGTGTTATGGTATCGTGTAACGGTTTTTTTTTTAATGTTGTCTGTTGTCAAGTGTCGACAAATAACGTCCACAGTTATCAATTATCATGTGGGCTGGACTATATCGCGCTATGTCACGTGATTGCGTATGTTTGTTTCTTTATTTGTTCATCTTTATTTATTTAATTATCTGTTCTTCTATTTATTTAATTATGTTTAGTTTGCTTATGTTTATTTATAATTTATGTATGTACATATTTATTTTTGTTTATTTTTATCACGTGTTTTGTTTATTTATTTAATTATTCTTTCTTTCATTTAGTTTTGCTTTTATTATTTCTGCGTGTGTATTTATTTAATTTATTTATTTTCATTTATTTATATTATGGGTCTGTTTGTTTGGTTATTTGTTCATGAGAAATTTTGGTGTATACATGTGTTAGTACGATTTTTAGTTCTAGAAGTGTTATTTTATGATCTTCGTTGATATATCAAAAATTTGACCTATACATGTGTTAGTACGATTTTTAGTTCTAGAACTGTTATTTCAGGCTCTTTCTCGATATAGCAAAATTTTGGTGTATACAAGTATTAGTACGATTTTTTGTTCTAGAACTGTTATTCTTCAATTATTAGTTGTTCAAGTTGTTTGGTTTTTGCTTCAGTTTCTATGCCTTCGGTGTATTGCGCGTAGCGCCTATGTTTGAAGATTTGTGACTTTTCTCAAAAAAAACTATCCTAGAAAATCTGAAATTAAGAGTTTAGTCAAAACAAACTGATGTGCAGATGTTTCCTGCATTAATGTTTTGGCCTGTTTTTTCTGGAAAAGCCTGCATAGACTTAGCAAAAGTCAATCTTTTGAAGTGTCTACCGTTTTTGGAAAGTTCTTCACTTTTCTCGAGAACAACTCATCTCAATTTGATATTATGAATTCAATCTACAGATCATCCCCTAAGGGTTGATTAAGTGCTTGAGCAGAGAAATGTTAATGAATTTAGGGAAAGTCCAAAGTTTGAATTTTTGACCGTTTTTTGCAAACCATTTTCTTTTGTCTCGAAAACTACCTTACCTAATCTGAGATGAAGAAATTTATTGAAATAACAAAAAAATCTTCTCTAAGTAAGCTGCTATCACTCTGCTCAAGTAGAAAAACTACTAATTATTTTGGCAACGTCCAACCACTGAAATTTAGAAAGTTACACATCTCATTCCGTATCAGTACAAGAATTTATGAAAAGCATCAAACAGGCACGTTAACTTAAATCCGGCCACCAGTTTACTTTCAAGCGATCGTGGCGCAGAACGTGAGAGTTCGATTCTAGAGGTTGGAATGCTTTCTTTCTACATAATGTCTCCATGTTGGTGTTAATGATTTTTCTACTTGTATA